TTAAAAATCCCTCGAAACATTATAATTAGGTTAAAACACATCGGACGACTTTGCAGGCCTTTAGTCTACCTTAAAGGTGACCCCACTAGACAAAAATTCTGGATCTGCCACTGGTTCTTACCATATTCATCTGGTGAGGTAATGTTACTTGATAAATGCTTACCCAAATAAGCGTTTGGTAAACGACCCTAAATCCTACAAACCAAATACACCAAAAATTCTAAATTCAAATCCTTCTAAAACATTTCATCAAACCAAATACACCATCAAAATAATCAAAACTCCACTTTTGTCCCACAAAGTAACACCAAAAATCTCCCACATCACAAATTCCTTTTCCCATTGGTTTAAATCCAAAAATACCAAATTTAATTCTTTTCTTTCATGACCTATCATTATCGGATATACTGCCATCAATTTATACGAATTTATAAGACGTTAAAAATGTTAAATGCCATAATAGATTGTTTAGTATGACCGAACAATCGTGTGTTATATGTAAATGGAGGTTTAAATGCGGTGACTCCGGGCTATCTGCAAAGCAGATGGTCGTCTTGAGATTAGTCAGCACATTTAGCAGGTTGGATATCTAGGTTAATAAAAAAAAAAGGTTGTAGATTAGAGTTGGAAATGGTCGTGGGCTTTCTCTCATCAACCTCCACATATAGTGCTCCATGGATGGGTCCTTTAATCTTCTTTTTTTGTATGATGCATGGGTCATTTTGTTTGTTTGAGTGATTATACAGCTGTTGCAATTTGATAAGCACCCAGTTGAAATTGAGATTCAAATAATATGTGATGATATTAATTTGTTGTTTTCATTTGGGTTTTTGTGTTTGGCTCTTCTAGCAGCAAGTGGTACTTTGAAAATCTTTATGATCAAGGTATGAACAAGATTATTATATATATATATATATATATATATATATATATATATATATAGGGTTCAAAGAAGAAACACTTTCATTTTACGAGAACGCGAGAACACCCTTTTACTATCGACAATCACATGTGATATTATATATTTTTATCATAAATGATACACATGTGATACTAAATCAGAGATGCATGCGACTTCTGGTGCGATATTGGTTGCAGGCCAAGTCGTCCTTACACCACTAAGCCCCCTCGCATGTAGTAATCACATGTGATATGGGTGTTTTTGATATATATATATATATATATGTATATATATATATATGTATATATATATATGTATGTATAGGGTCGGGTTCACGTGAGACCACCTTGTTCTCATAAGAACATTTTTTTACACTTGAAATTTCACAGTAAAACACTGTGAATGTAAAAAAGTCGAACCTTCACAGCAAAAAACACTTTGTGAAAGTTACCTTCACAGCGTTTTGCTGTGAAGTTTCAAGTGTAAAAAGGGATTTCACGTATCTCATGAAAATAGACTGGTCTCACATGATTTCAATTATATATATATATATATATATATGTGTGTGTGTGTGTGTGTTATGATTGTAGTTTGGTAGGTTCAGTTGGACCAAGTTATGGGTTAGTCATGGTGACATCCATTTGCAAGTTTTAAAGTCATGATGATATCATTATTTGCAGAATGCTTAGACTTTGTTATCAAAGTAGAGGAGCATGGCAATAAATATGTTTAAAGGTTCAATAGACTCTTTAATATTACTTTAAGTTTGTAAGACCAAACAATTGTGTGTTAGATGTAAAGCGTTATCATATGATATTATGACGTATTAAAATTTGGAATCCTAACAAACTTTTAATTTATGACACTTGAAGTAACATGTTCTATTAATTTTTTAACAAGACATTTTCAAGAAGTGTCCTGTAAGTATTTCGTTTTACATGATATTTATTAATTTTTATGGAAAACTTTTTTAAATAAAAGGAAAAATGTGTACAAAAAGATTTATTTTGAACCAACGACAAAGCGAAGACACTTTAGTTTAGAATGATCGACATATATGATTGCTGTGTGGAGACTTCGGTGAGTTAAGCTTAAACGTTCATGATAACGAAATTGTGTTTATTGGATGTTTAAAATGTCTAAGTGTTTTAATAGTGCGTTTTATAGGACCGAACCATAAAACGTTTTATTTAAAAGTGTTACAATAGTTTTATTGAGTTTTTTTAGGATATTTACAAACTAAAATGAGGTCTTAGGTATTATATATATATATATATATATATGTATATATATATGTATATATATATATGTATATATATGTATATATATATATATGTATATATATAAGATCTTTTAGAAGTGTTTGATAAAATAGCTAACATGACACTATATTTTAGAAATGTTCAAAAAACTTGTTAGAGTATCCAAAAGCATTGTATATACTTATTGTAACACTTTTAGATAAGACATTTTATAGTTTGGTCCTAAAAACTTAAATCTTATAAAATACTCTATCATATGATATTTATATATTTATGATATCCTATAAACCCCAATTTGTTGTTATGTTTGTTAGGGACTGTGTATAGGACTGGATAAAACTCAAGAATCGTGTGAGAAAACACTTTCCGAATACAATAATTCGACCCTATTAGCCTTTGGTTCACAAATTTCGTATTAAGATAATTTTTATGGTTATTCTCTCGTTTCCAGAGGCTGTGAAAAACAAGATACATACCAGATTCTCGTTTTACATATTTAAATGAGGGATCAATTGTTATTGGTGGTTTAACGGTTATAACCATTAAAAGATAAGGTCACAAAGCAGTTACAACCGAATCTGAAATTCTAAACCAGCAGGTACGTACCATCATTGAAGACGTTTCAACAATAGCTAAATGCGTTTCAATGACAACTGAAGGCACTTTAGCGACAACTAGCTCGGCCAGATTCAGTGATAACCATATTCATCGATAATCAAATTCTAAGTTACAACTTAGTAAATTTTCTAAGTCTTTAGAACTTAGATTAAAAAAAATCTAGGGGCTCAGCTCCTTGGAACCACGCCCAGGGATGTTGCACCTGACCCCGCAAGAGGGCATGGCCCCCTTGACCCTGCTTTTATGGCGAACTAAAGTGATAGAGGTTAACATTTGTAAGTGTGCATTCCGCACCTTCTAACTTACATATGTTTGCCTCATCGCCTTAACCGATCTCGAGTAAACCATAATTCACCAAAAAAACTTCATAACGCTAAAATCACTAGCAATATTTAAAGCCTCAAAACCAACATTTTTTTATTAATCTGGATATCCAACCCGCTATGCGAGCCGACTAATCTTAGGACGACCATTTGCTTTGCAGATATCCCGGAGTTAACACATTTGAACCTCCGTAGCCTCAAGAGGATTTTTATTCCTCCTCCGATTTGAGCCTGAGAACTTCTATAACTTTTGACTTTTGGAGTTAAGCTCAAACCAATCAGACACCATCTTTGTGGTTTAAAACCACCATTTTTGCACCATGCAAGGAAAAGACTGAAAAAAATAGGGTTATCGTAGCTACCCTTTAATTTATTTGTCATTATTATTATTAGTTATGTTAGATTACAGTTTGTGTCGTTTTCATAAAGTATATATATATATATATATATATATATATATGGTCCATTTGATTGAATCTTTTCTTAATTAACATATATGTTTACATGTTTCTAGTGAATCAAAGCACAATTATTATAGTATTGGTGTGGTCGGTGATCATCTTACATAAGCTAGCTACAACAAAAAGACCTTCATTAATTAAGACATATTCGACTCTCCCCCTCTTTTTATATAGACTTGGGATCACGTGATACCAGCCTGTTTTCATGAGATCCATGAGACCACTTTTTTACATTTGAAACTTCAAAACAAAACGCTGCAAAGGTAAAAAAAAGCCGAACCTTCACGGCAAAAAAACTGTGATATTACCTGTTTCAAGTGTAAAAAGATGGTCTCACGGGTCTCACGAAAACATGTTGGTCTCACATGAACCCAACCCTATATTATATATATATATATATGTGTGTGTGTGTGTGTTAAAGTTTATGTTGATCTTATGAAACATGTTTATTTGATTCTAAGTTGCTACTTGTGTTACGTTAATCTATGTTTACATAGTCAATAATCAGACGAGTAGGGCTGTAACCGAACCGAACGTTCAGCGAACCGTTCGGCGGGAAGTTCGTTTATGTTCGTTTATTTAATAAATGTACGAACATGAACAATTTTTTTTGTTCGTTTAGTTAAACGAACGAACATGAACAAGAGCCTCGTTCGTTCATTTATGTTCGTGAACATTCATTCATTTACCGTTCGTTTATGTTCATTTATATTCGTTCGTTTATGTTCGTTTATATATTAAGTTTAATATATTATCTTTTATTTATTTACTTTGAATTCAAATCATATTTATTTTTGTTCGTTTAGCCCGTTCGTTTAAGTTCGTTCGTTTACGTTCGTTTAGCATGTTAACGAACGAACATAAACGAACACGAACACACCTTATTTCTAAACGAACGAACACGAACACACCTTATTTCTAAACGAACGAACACGAACACAAAGATTTTCGTTCGTTTACCGTTCGTGTTCGTTCGCTTGTTCGGTTAAGTTAAACGAACAAACATGAACAAGCCTCCGTTCGTGTTCGTTCGGTTCGTTTACAGCCCTACAGACGAGTTTGTGGTTTTCCGCAAATAAAACAAACCCATCAATGCTATTAAATAAATGTCGATATACGGTTCATACGGGCACTCGGAAAGTTGCGTTCGAAAGCGATATCTTCGACTTTTTCGATGGTTTTTGTGTCGTTATTCGACAAGATTTTTTTTATTGTAATTACTTGAAGACTAAGTGTTATAAGTAGTCTGGTCCAAATTTGATTCTTGCAAGTTGAGTTTTGTGAGCTTCTTTCTATCTGTGCCAATGGACCACAAACCACTCTCTTTTATAAAATGGCTTCTGGAAACCACGACTTCATAAAGAAGCTTCAACTTCAAAAACTTGTGTAACAAATCAAAGTTCACATCTTTTTCCATTTTTACCCTTTCGAAAGAATGAAAATCCGAAGAGGGAAACGCTCCGAGGTACATTTCCGTCAATCTTTACTACTTTTCTTGAAGATTTTTCGGTTTTTTTTAGATTGGGGATCGTGTTTCGTGTTTCTTGTTTCTGTAGTCGTTTTGGCCTTCGATGGTGATGAAGAAATGGTTGAATATTCAGCCAAAGAATAATGATTATAGTGAAGATGAGATCGATACAGAGACTGAAAGCGAAACCGATGGTATGTATATATGTTGTTTGAAAAGCTTCGGTTTTTGACATGTTCAATTATTCGTTATCATGTTTGTTTTAAACCTTTTGCGTTTTGTTGTCTTAAAGACGAACGAATGGATTTTAACGAGCAGCGTGCTTGTCGAATGCAGAGCAACATGTCCGCACGCTTGAGCCAAATCTCATATGGTAACTATCACGTCATTTGGTTAAATGACCTTGTATCGTTTTTTTTTAATCCACGACCCTTGTTTAACAAAACGGGTCAGTATAATCCACTTTCATGCACAAGAATGCAAAAATAGCTGTCAGAAGGTCATGAATTTGAAAAAAAAAAGCAGGGCTCATGAAGAGCTCATATAGCCAAATAACCCATGACCATTATATTAAATGCGTTCCATTAGCAACTTTATAGAATACTATTTGAAAAATTGTCTTATAAAAACAAATGTCCTATAAAAAATTGAGTTTATAGGACACTTTCTAAAAAATGTCTTATAAAGTTGCTAATGCGACACTTTGTATTAAAAATGTCCTCAAAAACTTGTTAAGACGCACAAAAGCATCATATAAACTTATTACAACACCTTTAGATAAAACGCTTTATATTTTGGTCCTATAAATTAAGTCTTATAAAGCGGTTTATTGGGACGTTTAGAGATTGGAGATGTCCTATAAACCCAATTTTGTTGTAGTGTCATATATGTTTCGTTTAATCAAATCGTTTTAAACTTTGGAATTTCAAGTTAAGTTTATGTATTCACCGATTGATATTATCATCTAATTCTAAGGTTTTGATGGTTGTATGATTCTAGGAGCACCCGCGAGAGCAGTTGCGAAGCACAAGAGAGGGAAATCAGAGACGATGCGTGTTCATTATATTAAAACGAAAGATGTGAGGTTTGGCTCTAAATATGAATCGTTTGTTTTGGCAGCCAGTTTGCACGCATCTCAACTAATATTACGAAATCCTGAAGTTAATATTATTACGCTGGCAAATTAACGATGTGCATTTGATACATAGAACTTGACAAAACAAAAGTTCATTATCGCATGTTTTGTATGATATAGATCGGGACTGGACATGACTGAGTGGAACAAAAATGCATATTTATGTCCCACCAAAATAGGTGAAACAAAAAATTAAAAATCAGTAAAGCTTTGCACAATTCTTTCATCCACCTACCTTAGGGGTTGTTTGGTAGTTGCTGAATGATTAAGTGGTCAGAATGATTAAGAGACTCTCATAATATAGTATAAAATGAAATATAATTGTCTAGTAATTGTTTACAATAAATTATGGTGCTGAATGGTTAAAAGAGGCCCAAGATCCAAAATCATTCAGATGATTTTTGAACCATTAAGAGRYAGATTTTTTTTTTGTCAAACAAGATTCACTTCTTAACGATTCAGAGACTGCCTCTTAATTAAACTATTAAAAGGTAAACAAACAACGCTATCTAGTCTCGTCTGCATACCAAACGCACTAGGGGACTTGAATTAACAAGTAATGAGGAGCAAACCCAAAATTTTACGAGTTGAACGACTCTCAGGGTTATGAACTATTTGTTTGTTGCATCCTCCCTCATAATCACATCTTTTGAATATCATAACGCGTGTGTCTTGTAGGGTAACGGTAGGGACTTGGAATGTTGCGGGAAAACTCCCGAATGAGGATCTAGATATCGATGAGTGGCTTTGTATGCACGAAGCCACCGACATATATATACTCGGGTAACTACTAATTCTACTTGTAAATACGTCACAGTATTTGGTATTCATTTATTAGACCTTCGTATGTATATGAAATACCGTTATGTTTCAAGAAAATTGTAGTAGTTTTTCTTACGAAAATCACAGTAATTTGATTTACCCGAAAGTTTCGAGTTAATATGATCTTTTTTTCGATGCTCTATTACTCAGATATAAATCAATAGCTAAAAACTCTTTGAAACAAGTTAATAATCACTTGGTTTTGCTTACTAATGCAAAATTTATTAAAGTTATACCAGAAGGATACTCGTGCAATGCAACGAGACACATCTTGATTTTAATGTTTCGTTTATTTTGTCTCTGTCTGATTTTATAATATGGTTATAGGTGGTTTTGAGAAAATGATAATGTTTTTATTTTTGAATAAAATATAAATTTGAAAATATCATAAAATTTTGAAAAAAATATATCCATATTAGTATCAAATTGACTATTTAAAAGTTCTTGTTTTTGTAATTTCTTTAATTCAAATTTTTATTATAATTTAATTTAGGTTTAATAACGAAGTAATTTATTTATCATTTAATAATATAATTTTTATAAAGATAATAGTTAAATATTTTGTTATAACCAATGATTATCCTAATTATATTTTAGATTTTTTATATTCAAAATGAGATGTTTATCATGTATTTGATTATGTTTATCTATAATTAGTTACACGAATTCAAAAATGAAGCTTTAATAAGTTGTACTTACGCATAATTTACTTGTTATTTTGAATTTTAAGTAATATACATCGATAAACAATACTTCATATATAAAAAATTATTTTTAAAACGAAAAATAGTATAGATAATATGTTTGTATTCAAATTTCATAAAATCAACTTATAATCATCTTTGAAAATAAATATTTAAAAAGAAAAATAACATGTTAATTGATATCTATGAACAGATTCCAGGAAGTCGTCCCTTTGAACGCCGGAAACGTACTCGGAGCCGAGACCCGAACTCATGTATCGAAATGGGAGACGATCATTCGGAAATCTTTAAACAAATCTCTGGAACCTGCAACCCTTCGCAAAAGCTACACCGTACCAACCTCTCCCCATGCAGACATCATTACCGATTCCAAAATCAAAGAGATGAATCCGATGGCCGGAATAAAGAGATTCGACGATCTAGATTGGCCGGAATACCCACTGGACAAAAAACACGACGTCTGTCTTTCCGGTGGGAAATACTTACGTAGGGTGTTAAGTAACTCAGATCGAGTTCGTAATGATTGGTTCACAAATCCAGTGGATTTTGGCCCCCATGGGAGTCGTGTGGGCGATCTTGGTGGGTTGAGGAGGGCACGCCATAGCTTGGGCGACTTGGGTTTGCCATGGACACCGGTGCAACCAGAACGGACGAACGATGTTCGTTCTCTTTATGATGTATCCGAACAAGTACCGGAAGAAGATGATGTCGAACACGAGAATGCATCTTCGCAAAATGGCGGAAAATCGTGTAGGTATGTTTCTATGGTGTATAGAACGGCTCGGTTTATGGTTATTTGAGACCTTGAATTGAATCGAACCATATTGACAACTTGTTATGTATTAGGTTCGTGCGAATCGTGAGTAAGCAGATGGTGGGGATATACATTTCGATTTGGGTTCGTAAAAGATTGAGACGACATATAAACAACGTAAAAGTATCGACCGTTGGTACCGGGATTATGGGCTATATAGGCAATAAGGTAAATGACATTTCTGCATTCGTTGTCATAAATTACTTGTCACCTCCTTCTTCTATCAATCATGTGACGCCACATCATCGATCTAATTATTAATTATAAATTTATTTAATTAATCTTTCTATTCTTCCTATTTAATAAACGGAAGATGTGGCTTCATGTGATTGGTGTACTGAAAAGGGACATGCGAACGTTTTTATCCACCCACCTTAGACCCTACTAATCGATGATTTTTGTTTCAGGGATCGATTTCCGTTAGCATGTCTCTTCATCAAACGCGATTATGTTTCGTTTGTTCTCATTTGACGTCGGGACACAAGGACCGTGATGACGAGAGACGCAACTCTGATGTGGTCGAGGTCTTAAGACGTACTCACTTCTCGTCAGTTTTAGACCCCGATCAACCTCAAACAATTCCCTCTCATGAGTAAGTTATTTAATCACCTCTTTCGTGCAATATCATATATACCGTTGGCTATAATTCATGAGGTTTTGTTCTTGTCAAACAGTCGGATATTCTGGTTCGGCGATTTGAATTACCGCATCAATATAGCGGACGCAGACGTTAGAAAGCTCGTTGCGATGAAGCAGTGGGACAAACTACTCTATTACGATCAGGTAAATAAGATCTATAAGTATAAAGCTTTCTTAACATACAACGTGTTTTAAGGATCAAATACTGAGTCTTCTCCTTCACTTACCGAGCGAGTAAGATTCATAGTCCTTGTTATGCCTTTTACTAAGTAAGATTCTCCATCCTTGTCATACTCACAGATAAGGTAAGTGACACCCGATAAACTCTTACCCAATAAGAGTTTGGTAAACTGCCCCTAGCCCCCTAGTGTATGGACCAGTAAGTGTGGATTGGTTTTGTTTAAGTTTCTTGGATGTTTTTAGTAAACTTATTGATTGTTTTTACTCATGTAGTTACGCAACGAACTCAGAAAAGGGCGTATCTTCGAGGGTTGGAAGGAAGGCGTTATCGACTTCCCACCGACTTACAAGTACGAAATCAATTCGGATCGATATGTAGGTGAAAATCCAAAAGAAGGGGAGAAAGGAAGAACACCTGCATGGTATGTTTTGACTTTTAGAAATCCGTATTGGTTTGACCTCAAAGTCAACGTGAAGAACTTGATGTTAATGTATCAAGTGGTGAAATGCAGGTGTGATCGTATTTTATGGCTGGGAAAAGGAATAAAACAAGTTTGTTATCGTAGAGCGGAGTTGCGAATGTCTGATCATCGGCCCGTCAGTTCGGTGTTTTCGGTTGAGGCGGAAGTGTTTGACCCTAGAAAGCTTCGCCGAGCTCTCAATTTGACTAGTGGTGCGATACATCAAGAAATAGTCGTGGACGACGAACACGAGCGGGAGTTGTAGCAAATGGTTTCGTGTTACAACTTCTTGTTGGTCGTCCAAGGATTACTCGTGGAGTTTTGGTTTGAAATAATCCCTCTATCCCTAACCCTATTCCAAAGTGGAAATTGTGGATAAGTTTGATTTGGTTTATATATACATGTGATGTGAAGATGTGTTCAAGTGTTACAAATTAAGTTGTTCATGTAGGATGGAAGTTACTTAATTACTTGAGAAGACATTTGTTTATTTATTTGACGATTGTGTTGTAAAAATTAATAATCATATATATCGAACATCTAATGAGGATACGACATGGTATTCATATGTGAATATAGTCTGGATCAGGCTTTTCATCTTAAATTTTCATTTCTTAATACATATATATAGAGAGAGAGAGAAGAGCGATTAAATGAAAACTGCCCTCAAGTAAACCATGTAAACCAATCTCATCTATCTATTTTCTTGATCAATGGTCAAAATTAGTTTAGGTTATATTAGGAAATTAAAATAAATAAATAAATAAAAATTTATTTTATAATCTTTATAAGGGCAAAATGGTAACTTTGGTAGTGGTAATATTAATGGCAACCATATCATGTATATCGTAATATTAATGAAACAAAATCATTTGTAAAATAATATATTAATTTTATGTTCAAATATTATAAATAAAATTATATCCATCATTAAAATAGATCAACAATAAAAATAAAACACACTATAATCAATTTAACATAATGAAACCTTTTGAATAATAATAATAATAATAATAATAATAATAATAATAATAATAATAATAATTTACTACTACATTTAATGAACGAAATGGTTTTACAGTTTCATCAAATGAAATGGTTTCATTGTTCACTAATTACACAAAAATTTCTTAGAAACCATGAAATGGTTTCACTTTCTTCAATCACCCATTACATCGGTTAGCATGGTTTGATGAGTCATTTGTCATTTCACACTATTGATAATGAAATGGTTTCATTTTTCACTAATTACACAAAATTTTCTTAGAAGCCATGATGTACCCTTTTCATCATGCATCCATTTCATAATCATTTTCACTTACTCCATATACCAATGTCATCATGTACGAAACCAGTTTCATGAATATTTTTTTTGATTCTATTACTGATTTCATGGATTTATTAATCTAAGATCTTCGATTTTCATGAATCTTGACAATAATAAACCGAGACACAATATAAATAAATCCAATTTTTAATATTATAATTTAATTAAATATTTAAATGTTATCATTTATAAAATTTCCTTTATTATGTTACCTTAATTAAGATTTATTAATAACTTCCATATTTAATAAAAAACAATACAAATGACCAATATACCTTTAATAATTAAATTTAATTAGAAAAAAATGAAATTTTCTTATTGGTCGAAATTAGTTTACACGGTTTTTAAGAATTGCACGGTTTTCATTTGAACGTGTCTCTCTCTCTCTCTCTCTATATATATATATATATAGAGAGAGAGAGAGAGAGAGAGTTGATTCACGTGAGATCAAAGGTTTTTCGTGAGACCCATAAGACCAATTTATGTTCATTGATCAACTTTATAAGCTAATGATCTAATGGTCTAAAGTTGTACGGTGACAATTTTGTGATTATGAATGTTCAGATTTTAGATCTAATCCAATGATTGAAAATTAGTCTTATGGGTCTCACGAAAAACTATTGGTCTCACATGATCCCAAGTCTATATATACATATATATATATATGGAAAGGTTCAAACGAGAACGCGAGAACACGTTTTTACTATAGACGATCACATGTGATACTAAATCAGAGACGCAGATGATTTTCGATGCGATCTTGGTTGCGGGCCAAGTCGCCCTTACACCACTAAGCTCCCTCACAAGTATTATCACATGTGATAAGGGTGTTGTTGATATGATACTATAATTCATCAAGACTATCACATGTGATGCTAAATCTGTTTAATCTTATGAAATTTTTTCATGAAATTGTTTAATCTTGTGAAATTGTTTCATATAATACTTTTTTTGATTAAGTTGTTTCATATATGGTTATGAAATTGTTTCATATAATACTTAATGAAATTTGAATGAAACTATTTAATATATTTCTCTAAAATTAAAATAATGAAGATAATAATATCTATGATTAACATCATCCACAATAAAAAATGATTAATCAACCTCTCATAATTACAAAAAAATGAACATAATTACTAATTAGTTTGTAGTAACTGTGAGATCCAATCTCAACCACAAATCAATAGATAAATTAGAAAATTTATAATTTTGATAATTTTGAATTAAAATTTTAATGTAAGGACATTTTAGGTATTTTAAAACTCTTTTCTCTTATCTCTCCATCCCCCGTCCTCCGGCCGCCGTCCTCCGGTGATACCACAATGGTATCACAATGCATCATACATATGCTTGGGTATCACACTGAGATCATTTGTGTGGTCGATCGGAGATGTAACACAGTGTTATTACAATGCATCTTATATATGCTTGGGTATCACACTATGTCTTTTGTTTAACAAAGTCAATACTTTTAGGTATCACAGTGGTATCACCGGAGGACGGTGGCCGGAGGACGGAGAGAGAAGAGAGAAGAGAGGAGAGAGGAGAGAAAATACCTAAAATGTCTTTGCATTAAAATTTTAATTCAAAATTACCAAAATTATAAATTTCCTAATTTATAATTGATTTGTGGTTGAGATTAGATCTCATAGTTACCACAAACTAACTAGTTCTTCCTTGAATGGGCCCTTATGATTTGCGAAAACGCGAGAACAACTTATTAATCTCATATTGTGATAACAATAAAAATTAAAAGATTTTTAAATTAAAAATGAAATTAAACAATTCAAAAAAATTTGTGAGACAAAAGGATAATATTAGAATTTAAAATTATAAAATCTTAAAATCACGATCACAGTAAACCCAATGATCTGGATAACATAATGGGTTATTATGATTATCACTTATTTCAACACGATTTGGGTGTGATATGGGTGTGATAATCATGTGATTATCACACAATTATCACAAGGATTCCGCTCGGCTAGGGTTAACTTAGGAAATCAACTACCGATTTGGTGTGATAATCATGTGATATCACTATCATAATAACACACTCAATTTGATCATGGTTTCGATCGGTAAGGGTTAGACAATCACACATTTATCATAACGATTACTCATGGTTTCGATAGGTTATGATTAGACAATCACACATTTATCACAACGATTATGGACGAAATCCACTAAACGATTTGGTGTGATATGTGTGTGATAATCATGTGATATCACCATTACAACATCACTTGGGCACTCAATTTGATAATTGTTTCGATCGGTTAGGGTTAGACAATCACACATTTATCACAACAATTATTCATGGTTTCGATAGGATATGGTTACACTCGATTGATCATGGTTTCGATAGGTTATGGTTACACAATCACACAATTATCACAAGGGAAGAGAAGAGAGTGGAAACGAACTTGCAGAAAAAAAGGGATAATTATAATTAATTAAAATAAAATAAAAATTACTTAATTACATTATTGTCCTTATTAATTAATTTATATTTAATATAAGTTAATTTATCAATTAAAAAAGTTTAAGGTTATTGGGTTGTTCTCGTAAATCACAAAGATTCTTGTTTGAACCACCACCTATATATCTATACTATATTATAAAACATTTGACAAAAACTCTTAAAAACCATTTTTAATGCGTAAAGTACTGTTTATTAATGCATATTACTTAAAACTCAAGATTGCAAGTAGATTGTGCGTAAGTACAACTTACTAAAGCTACATATCTGAATTCGTGTAACTAACTGCAGATAAACATAATCAAATACAAGATAAACATCTCATTTTAAATAAAAAAATCTAAAATATAATTAGGATAATCATTGAATTCTAACAGAATACTTAATTATTATCTTTATAAATTTTATAATATTAAACCAAAAATAAATTATTTCATTATTAAACTTAAATTAAATTATAATATTAAAATAATCTATACTATATTATAAAACATTTGACAAAAACTCTTAAAACCAACTTTTTATACGTAAAGTACTGTTTATTAATGCATATTAATTAAAACTTAAGATTGCAAGTACATTGTGCGTAAGTACAACTTACTAAAGCTACATATCTGAATTCGTGTAACTAACTGCAGATAGACAAAATCAAATACAATATAATCTGTACAAATAGAATAGCCTATTTATACAGAATGGTAAAGAGGCCGTAATCAAATACAATATAAACATCTCATTTTAAATAAAAAAAATCTAAAATATAATTAGAATAATTACTGAATTCTAACAGAATACTTAATTATTATTTTTATAAATTTTATAATATTAACCAAAAATAAATTATTTCATTATTAAACTTAAATTAAATTTAAAAAAATAATCTATACTATGTTATAAAACATTTGACAAAAACTCTTAAAAACCATTTTTTTATGCGTAACGTACTTTTTATTAATGCATATTATTTAAAACTCAATATTGCAAGTACATTGTGCGTAAGTACAACTTACTAAAGCTACATATATGAATTCGTGTAACTAACTGCAAATAGACATAATCAAATATAAGATAAACATCTCATTTTAAATATAAAAAATCTAAAATATAATTGGGCAAAATGTACAAAATAGCAATCTACTTTCATAATTTTTTTATTATAGTATTGTACTTTCAGTTTTTCTTATTACAACAATGTACTTTCAAACTATTTTTTATTAGGACATTGTACTTCGAAAAATTTACTCATTATAGCATTGGGTAACATTTTGATTTAAATTTACCCATTATACTAGGTTTCCATGCCACCTCATTGTCCATGTAGGTTGTCCACATGTACTATAGTGATGTGACTTTCTTACTGCATCATTGTACTTTCAAATTTATTTTATTATAGCATCTACTAGTTCTTATTAAACATTGTATTTTTAATTTTAATATTTAGATATTTTACATGTTATTTAATAAATGTATTAAATGAATTAAAAAAAATTATAAATTATTCATTAATATACCAATACCAATAAAACTAGTAGAACATAACTTATCTCGCTAATATTTTTAAAAAAATATGTGTTTTAAAAAAAGGAAAATAAAAATTGTTCATTTTTTACCAAAAAACATTATCTTTTAAAAAATATATTATATTTGTTCAAAAAC